TAATTGTTGATCACTATTCTGACTTTTGGGAGATTGAGCTACTTCCTGACCTGTCTGCTGATACTACCATCAAGCGTTGTAAAGCACAGTTTGCACGTTATGGCCAGCCGGATAGAGTAATCTCGGATAATGGACCTCAATTTGCATGTGAGCAGTTCAGACGGTTCTCTAAAGATTGGGGATTCGAGCATGTTACCTCATCCCCGAGGCACCCGCAAGCAAATGGCAAAGCGGAATCGGCTGTCAAGATAGTGAAGAATCTTTGTAAGAAGGCCAAGTTTGATGGTACTGATCCGTGGAAGGCCATTCTACATTGGAGGAACACCCCATCTGAAGGCATGGACAGTAGTCCTGCACAGCGCTTGATGTCTAGGAGACTGAAGACTTCATTGCCTGTGGCAAACATATTACTTGATCCTTGTGTGGTTACAGGTGTCCCGGCGAAACTGCAGCGGAGGAAACAGATTGCCAAGCTGTCATACGATGTGTCTGCTAAAGACTTACCTGAACTAAGCATTGGAGAGCCAATCCGTATGAAGCTGCTTTCAGGTAACAGGACCCCGGTCGCTGGAGACTAGGTTCCTGTGTGCAGAGAGTTGCTCCTCGATCATATCTTGTGGATGTAGAAGGCAGTCTTTACCGCCGCAATCGAGTGGACCTGCGAAAGGCAGAACGATTCACCACACAAGCCTATGAGCATCCTGCACGTGATCCTCCTGAGGTGCTCAATGCGCCTTGCGTAGTGGTCGAGTTTCAAGACCACCAGATAGACTCAATCTGTAGTGTATCTACCAGTAACACAGTATGCCATGTTCAAGACTGTTCAGGATCTGTTTTAGTTTAATTGTTTATAAGGTTTGAATTGAATGTAAAAAAAGGGAGATGTTATAGAGTTATTATGCAATTACTGTGACCCTACTTGCATATGGTAATATTGCATTGCCTTATACTTCCTGTTTCCTGTTCTATGCTGACCTGGATGTAGTTCTGTGTACAACATGATTCCTCACACCAGCATCTTGTGTTGTCTGCATTCCTGTACATGAAACAGATTCTGACAGTGAAGATGACAGAGTCCTGAAGCCAGTGAAGCCGAAGGAGAGGGAGAGAGCATTGTACGAACAGCTGCACAGGCTCTCCAGTGACCTGGAGGATGGGGTGAAGTTAGCTGTCAGTGAGCTTGTGATTACTGACATGGATCTGCAGGTGGGCAGGATGGAGCCTCGTGTACCGGCGTGTGCCGTGAGTATGGACTCTAAGGACATTGTGCTGTCTCATGACTGTGTCCCTATGTGTACAGGTACCCCCGGTGTTACTGATCCTGCTGCTATGGTCCCCCCCGCGGCTCCGGCCCCTCCCGCGGCTCCCATCCCTCCGCGGCTCCTATGCATCCTACAGCTCCCATCCCTCTCGCTGCTCTCTCATCCCTCCTATGGATCCCATCCCTCCTGCAGCCTCTGTCCCTCCTGCGGCTTCTGTCCCGCCTGCACCTGCTATCTCCTTCCCTCCCGATGTTAAGACCGGCTCCCGCAGCTGGTACATTGAGCTATTCAGCAGCCCTGAGAGGAGGTCAGGGTGTTGGTAAGCCTGCTGAGATTTTGTGTGGGGAGGGTCACCTACTGCAATCAGCAGAAGGAATGTGGTGCAACTAAGGTGGATGGGTGAGGGCCCCCCACCAAGCAGGAAAGAAGTTGTGGATAGGGTCATTGAGACAGGCTTTCAGACGGCAGATATCTTTGCATTTATTGCCCCTGTGGGTACAGGGGAGTATGACATCTCCTTTGTTAGGGCAGACAGCCTGAACATATTCTGGCAAAGATATGAGGCTTATTGTAAAGCGGCCACTAGGTGGGCGGGGCTTCTCCCTAAGGTCATTTCTCGCCAGCCCCTGATAAAGAATGTTACCATCTTAATTAGGAATGAGTCCATACCAGCTGCGGACATAATGATATGGTTGGGGAGGCATGGAGAGGTCTTGTGACCCCTACATAAGATTCTGGATGACAGGGGGATATGGACGGGAGGTTGGACGGCCACAGTGAAGCTGAGGGTGGTGGGAAACGTTATACAGCATCTTCCCTCTTCAGCCTTTTTGGGAAGGGACCGCCTGGTGGCATTCCATGCAGGGCAGCCCAGGCTCTGCCATCGTTGTGGCAGTAAGGGCCACTTTTTAGCATCATGCGTGGTGTTGAAATGTTCATTATGCCAGGAGGTAGGGCATTTGGCAAGGGGTTGCAATCAAATTAGGTGCAATCTTTGCCTAAATCTGGGTCATGCCTAAATCAGCCAGAACTAGTAACTGAGCTTGCTAGGATAGAGGCGGAGGAGGCGGCTGCAGATGCAGCCCCTCAGGTAGCGTCCACTGCAGTGGCAGTGGCCACCGCAGTGGCTGCTGAAGCCACTTCATCCCCAAGTGTTCCCCCTGTTGTATCCGTTCCCTCCCCATGTGTTGAGTCTGTGGGTGTCAAGTCTGTGTGTGTGTCTTTCCCTTCCATAGTGTCATCTGCGTCCCCTGCTGTGTCTGTTCCCCAGGCTAAGGCTAAAAAGAAGGGGATAAGCAAGGCAGCTGAGGAGGCTGGTCTGGCTGGGCATTCTGTTGCCCCTTCACCGGCCCTTCTTCCGCTGCGTCACCGTAGCAAGACTGTGGAAGGTCAGGAGTCTGCTGGGGGTGGGCCGGGTGAGGGAGAGGATTGGTCGGTGGTTGGGAAGGGAGGCAAGAATAGGACGGTCCTCTCTCCTTCATCTTCTATTTCCTCTCTGGAGGTTGATGAGTTAGCTTTAAGTAATATGTTTGAGACCTTGTCTGGGGATGGTGGGGGACTGGTTGACTCCCCCTCCCCGATGGAGGAAGAGGAGGCTGGGGGGTCCCTGAAAAGGGCCAGGCTCCCTTCTAAGAAAGGCAGGACAAAGGCTAAGAAACACCAGTCTTAATGACCCAAATGGCAGTTCCCACTCCGATTAAGGTGGCAACCATTAATGTTGCCAGCATAAAGTCTGTAAGTGCTAGGAGTACAGCCTTATTTTTGCTCAGTGGTATTGGAGCTCACATTTTATTTTTGCAAGAAATCCGGCTTAACAGCCTTGCTGATGTTCATCTGGCTAAAAGGGAGTGGAGGTGTGGTCCCTCCTTCTGGTCTCTTGCAGCTGAGCCTTACAGCAGAGTTGCGGTACTTCTTACCAGCATGGTAACGTGTCGGCGGGTCATTGAGGTGGAGATTGGAAGATGTTTGATCTTGGATGTCCTTATGAGGGGGCAGGAACTGTGCCTTATTAATATTTATGGACCGCAGTCCAGGTGGGACAGGAAATGCCTCTTTACAAGGATCAAGCCTTTTCTATTTACGTCCCGGCAGGTTGTCTTTGGAGGTGATTTTAACACCGTGACTAAGCCCAAGGACAGGAAAGGCTCCAATGACAGGCTGGGATATGATAGCGTTTTTCTAAATGCAATAGTCAGGGAAGCAGGTCTGGTGGATGCCTTAATTAAGAGCAGCCCGGACAGCACTTGTTTCACATTTAGGAGAGGTAACTGTCAGAGTAGGATAGATAGGTTTTTTTTGAAGGGGGACTCTGCCTTTTCGGCACCTGAGTGTTGGGCGGTGGAGTTTTCTGACCACCTTTTACATACTGTGACTTTGAATGTTTCAGATGCACCACTGAAAGGGAAGGGCATCTGGAGGATGAATTCGGCCCTGCTGGACAATGAGGAAGTAAGACGATGTTTTGAGGAATTTTTTCAAGCTCAGGAGACCGTCCTGGATTTGTGCAACAGTAAGTCAGAGTGGTGGGAGCTTACCAAAGTGCATATTGCCAGGTTTTTCAAGGCCCTAGGAAAAAGAAGCAACTTGGAAAATATATAATTTTATATTATCATAATAATATCGCCTACCAACAGTTGCGCAGGAAACTCGACCGCCTCATCTCTAGCGGTGGAGATTCTGTGGCAATCTCGGAGATTAAGCTTCTCCTTAAGTACCAGTATGATCGGCATGCTTCTTTGGTTCTGGAGAGGGATTATGGGAAGTACCACTTGCCTGATCCCTTCCAGAATTGCAAACAGAGTGCAGTGATTAAGATGGTTACCGGCTTGAGGGATAGTATGGGATCCCTGACAAAATCCAGGTCAGAGATTCTGGAGGTCTTTTTATGAGGAACTTCTGAGTGAGAGGCACCTTGACTGGGTGAGGATGTTGAGCTTTTTGGATTCTTCACCGGGTTTGGAAGGGAACATTTCATCTGCAAGTTTGACAGGGGAAATTACAGCAGAAGAGGTAGCCAAAGCTATTGATGGTCTGGTCATTAAGAAAACTCCTAGGCCAGATGGTTTGACAGTGGAGTTCTTTAAAACCTTTAAGTTCAGCTTGGCACCTAGCCTTGCAGAGGTTTATAATTGCTGTCTGGTCACTCCCTCCCTCTATGCGGTAATTCTGCTGTCAAAGGGTAAGGACCCTTCGGCTATTGAGAACTGGTGCCCCATTAGCCTTCTCAATGTCGATAGAAAGATCCTGGCTAAGATCTTGTTCTGGCGCTTGTCGTCAGTGGCAGATGGTTTACTTTCACACCGGCAGCATTGCTCGGTCCAGGGCAGGAGCACCTTTACAGCGGTGTTAACTGTCTGGAAGGCTCTGGAGCGATGTAAGGCTGATGGTTGGGGGAAGTATTTGCTGGCAGTGGACCAGGCAAAGGCTTTCTATCGAGTCGATCATAAGCACCTCTGGCATCTCCTGGACAGGTACGGCCTAGAGGGGAGGTTTATTGGCTGGCTTAAGGCTTTATATAAGGGGGCTGAAAGCTTCATATTGGTGAATGGCTGGGTTGGGCAGCCCTTTGGGGTTGGCTCTGGGGTGCGCCAGGGGTGTCCGCTGAGCCCCTTGCTCTATGTCTTTGCCATTGATCCCTTCGTCAGGAGGTTAGATGGTGGAGCGTTGAGTGGGGTGCTGGTGGGCATTGCTGGTGAGCCGCCTCTGAGGGTTGTTGCTTACGCTGATAACATTTCTGTCTTTATCTCTGGGACTGAGGAGGCACAGGAGGTGGTCTCATTGATAGAACAGTATTCCGAGGCGTCAGGCTCCAAGGTCAACCGGGACAAGTGTGACGTTTTCTGGATGGGTAGGGAAGGTGAGAGCTTTTCATTTCCGGATGCCTTCCTGGTGCCCCAGCAGAAAGTTAAAATTCTAGGCATTGAATTTGGCCCTGCTGATTATGGCAAGTCAAATTGAGTAGCTAGGCTGTCCGTTGCCGAGGTCAAAGTGAGATGTTGGAAGGGGTGGCGGCTCTCCTTAAGGGAAAGGGTTGATTTGATCAAGACTTTCCTGGTCCCCATCTTTTTATATGTCAGTTTCACTTGTCTCTTGCCAGAGTCTCTCTATACGAGGGTCTACAGTTGTTTCTTCTAGATGTTATGGGAGGAACAGGCTGAACCTTGTCAAGCGGGATGTGACCTATTCATCCAGGCGGGAGGATGGCCTAGGTATGGTCAACCCAATTGTGTTCTTCTCTCTAATGTTTGTTAAACATAATTTTGGTAGCATGTTGGCAGAGAGACCACCTGCATGGGTAGGCCTGTTTTGGGCCTGGTTTAGACCCTTTCTCGACTGTTGGGAGAGAGGCGGGCCAGTGAAAAGTCTGCCTGTTAAGCATGGTGAGCTCCCGGCTTACGTTGCCCAGAGCTTGAAGATACTTAGGCGGTGGCATGTGACGGCGGAGGAATATCCCTCCCTAGGAAACTTCTGGGTGAGAGGATTGTGGCTACCACTTTTCATGCGCCACTGACCTTGAAAGATTGCCCAAGCCATATTATGCGGGAGGGTCTACGTTTGATTAATTTGGAGCGGATTCCCTTGAAGTTTAGGGACCAGGCTTGGTTCGCGTTCCATGGCAGGCAGGCTCTATGTAAGAGGAAACCTGAAGTACCGTCCTCTGGATGACCGTGGTTGTCCGAGGTCAGAGTGTCGGTGTGAAGTGGAGACTATGGACCACTTTTTGCTTTGGTGTCCTTTCAACATATAGGTGTATAGAGAGGTGGGTGGGGCTCTGGGTATTCCTTTCCTACACTGCATGTCTTATGCAGAGTGGGTGTATGGGGCATTCGAAAGTCGCATGGGTTTTGATTTGGACACTCTTTTCATAGTCAGCTTAGCTGTCCGTTATTACACTTGGAACACACGGTGTCAGGTCTCAATTCGGCAAAAAGTCCTTCCCATCCAGGTGGTGGTGAGTGACATTCTTGGTGAGGTTGGGAAGATTTGGGGTCTTGAGACAGATTGCGGCGAAAAGCCTGGATGGAGGCATGGAGGAACATCAGGATCGTAGCTGCTGTCTGTTGATCTCGGGTGGCGGTCCCTATCTCTTTTTTCTCCTCTTTTCACTCCTCTAGATTTTGCAGTAAGTATGGTTTTTGATGAAAGGCTGAATTCACTGAAGGTCTAGGTTTCTTAGTCTTTAGTGGGTATAGTTTTGGTATAGCTGTAAGTTTTCTTGGGTTTAAGCCTGAGAGTTGTGTGATATTGGACCATAAAGGCCAGCATCCTTCTTGTATGCTATGATGCCAGGCCATAAAGGCCATTGTCCTTTCATGTGTATTATGAGGTCAGGTTGTAAAGGCCTTTCTTTATAGGTAATCCTTGATGCTAGGCCTGTAAAGGATTTTTTTTTTGATTCTTCATACTAATGTGGTAAGGCCGAAAAGGTCTTTTTTTGTTCTGTGAAGCCTTGTTATTTGGGCCATAAAGGCCATTTGTGTTTTTCTCCCTTTCCTTTCCACAGACTATGGACTCTAATGCTACAGCCATAATGGGCTGAATGTTTATATCCGTGTTTGTTTTATTATGAAGTATTTTGTATATGATTTAGGCCAGAGGAATGGTCTTGTTGTATTTATTTATTGTTGCTTTTATTTTTTGTAATTTTGTAAAAAAAAAAGCTTTTGCTGGTCGCAAGTTCTGTTGAAATAAACATTTCTAGCTATCCCTGCGGTGGAGGAAGTGGGCGGAGCTGCTGTTCAGACAGTGTGTGCTGTGTGTTTTGAGCTCCTGGAAGCTCTTACAGGCCTCATTTGGGCCTTGGACTAAATTTTTGGGCTTTTGCCCTTGAACCACGGAGGAGCCCGGCCGTGATCCGGGTGGAGGTGAGCCCCCAGGGACACCTAGTACTGGTCCTAATACTATGCCAGTGGAGGACCTGGGAAAAGGTCCTAAAGCAGGTGAAAACTATGCGGCTTACAGGGGGAGAGTTACATCTCATATCAGAAGGATTGGGAGAGAGGAGGAGAAGCTGGAGCAAATGAAGATGGAGTTTAAGCGTTTTAAGGCTGCCTATGATCGTGTATGGAGCACAAAGTGTCAAGCCATGCGGCCAAAGCTGGAGGAAATGGAGGAAATAGAGCAGGCCGTTCGGTGCAAGGAGACCTCATGGCCACGCTCAAGGCAGCGAGCGGCTCCCTCAGAGAGTGGTATGTCAATGAGGAGTGATTTAAACTTGCCTGGGCAAAGTCCTTTGCATCTGGGAGAGTCCAGATGGAGACCCTGTCATCAGAGGATTCCTCCGATCATGCAGCAGCAGCCCCAGCAGCAGAGTGTCAGCGTACAGAGGAAGCCATGGAGGCCGTGACGGTGGAGGAGCAGCAGGGATCTATCCCTCCCCAGCAGCCGGTGCGGGATTGGGCTTCGGAGGTGCCGAGTGAAGCTACAGACGGGGTGATGGAGTTCATTGAGGAACTGGAGTCCCCCCTGCAGGGGAGACAGTTCACATTTTCCTCAGCAGACACTGACCCGGAGGATGATGTGGTTCCCAAACCGGTGAGACCCAGGAGGAGGGAGAGAGCTGCCTTTGTTCTACTCGAGCGTTTGCCAGTGAGATAGAGAAGGCAGCCTGCTTGAAGAAGGTGAGCGGTGAGTGAAGCTGCAGGAAGCATCGGGGACTGTAAGTAAAGCTATGGACGGTTCTGTCATGTCTGCTAGTAATGCTGTGCCTATTGTGGTATTAGATGACCTGGATCCCATGTGTGTGTCTGACTCAGCTGCAGCTGTGTCCATAGCTGTGTCTGCTCCAGGTCTTTGCTCTGACATTGTTCCCGTCCCTGCTCACGCTGCTGTTCCCGCCCATATGCCTGTTTCTGCTACGGTCATGGCTACCGTTTGTATTCCTGCCTCTGCTGCGGTCATGGCTCCCGGTGGTGTTCCTGCCCATGTTTCCGCCTCTGCAATGGCGGCTCCTGTCTCCGTAACCGCCCCTGCTGCAGTCATGGCTCCCGTCTCAGTACCCGCCCCTGCTGCAGTCATGGCTCCCATCTCAGTACCCTCCCCTGCTGCAGTCATGGCTCCCATCTCAGTACCCGCTCCTGCTGCAGTCATGGCTCCCATCTCAATACCAGCCCCTGCTGCAGTCATGGCTCCTGTCTCAGTACCCGCCCATGTTCTCGCCTCAGCCCCAGTCACGGCTCTTGCCAGTGTTCATGCCCATGTTCCTGTCTCTACAATGGTGCAGGCTGCAGTCTGTGTACTCACCCCTGATCCTGCCTCTGCTCCGGTCATGGCTCCCGTTGCTAGTCCCGCACCTACCCCCGTCCAGGCTCCTGCTTCTGCACCCACCCATAGTCCCACCCCCTGGTCCTGCCTTTGCACCCGTCCCAGCTCATGGCTCAGCTGACCCTTCTGTCCCTGCATCTGTCACAGCTCCCAAGCCAGTGTTAAGTTACTCTGCAGCCGTGAGAGGTGGGCAGAGTGCAGTGAGATCCTCAGAAGTACGGATTGGGGAGGCAGGCTCTGTGATAAAGAGAATGTGGTACAAATAAAGTGGGAGAGTGGGAAAGTGGGAGTCCCCCCCCCCCCCCCCCCCACTAGAAGGGAGGTTATAGATTGCATACTAGACATGGGCTTCTCTGCTAGGGACATATTCGCCGTCATTGCACCGATTAGCACAGGTGAATATGATGTTTCCTTTGTGAGGACAAAAAGCCTTGATCTGTTCTGGCAGAGATATGAGGGGGGGTGGAAGGATACCCCTAGGTGGGAGGGTCTGATGCCTAAAGTGCTCTCCAGGCAGCAAGTAATAAAAAATACCACAATGCTCGTCAGGAACGAGTCCATACTGGCGGCAGATCTGGTAGTGTGGTTGAGTCATTTTGGGGAAGTGCTGAGTCCCCTGAGAAAACAACTTGATGATGGGTATATGGACTGGGTGATGGACAGCGGCGGTGAAGCTGCGAGTGCTGGATAACACAGTAAGTCATATCCCATCATCAGCCTTCATTGGTAAAGATAGACTGGTTATTTTTTATGTCGGTCAGCCTAGAGTGTGCCACAGATGTGGAAGCAAAGGGCATTTTGCCTCTGGGTGCAGTGTTCTGAAATGTTCATTATGCCAAGAGATTGGCCATATGGCCAAAGACTGCAATCAGATTAGATGTAACCTGTGTCAGGAGCTGGGTCACTCTTATAGCAACTGCCCAGAGGCTCTGCATAATTTACCAGGAGTGATGGAAGAGCTGGCTAGAATGGAGGCTGTCAGAGATGCAGGTGTGACCAGAAGTGTGTGGACTGACACAGGGAAACGCAAGCTTCAGATATGGTATAAATAAGACAATTTATTAAAGACTAACAATACAAACATAAACGCAGTGCACCAAACCCCAAGCTAACACAAATACATACAACAAGGTGAAACAAACCCAAACCTAAACTGATACAGATACCCAGGTACATACACATGTAGAGCACAACGTAGTTAGGCAGGCTGGGTCGATAACTATCGGACAGGTAGGTACAGGAGGAGCAGGCGGAGAGAATGGTCAGGGTCACAAGCCAGGGATCAAAACAGGAGAAGTCAGCAGAGGTCAGGATCAGGCAGGGTCGGCAACAAGTCAGGCAGAAACAGGAACAGGAACGCAGGTTTTAAGATACAGGGGGGCCCATGGAAAAACACACACACCAAGGCACAGACTGCAGGTCTGGCCATCCCTTAAATACACCTGCAATCAGCCCCAGGTGATGGCTAATTGCCGAAGTGAACCTCTGGTTGTTGAGAGCACCCGCTGGCCAGCCCTGGTGAGTCCCACCATTATTGGCAAGTCCATTCCTGACAGTACCCCCCCCTCAAGGAGCGGCCTCCGGACGCTCCAAACAGTCCTAGCTGGGCAAAATGTTCCACCGGCCGGGTCCGGTGACAGGCACTTCGGGCTGGACACCGGACAGAGGCACTTCGGGCTGGGCACCGGACGGAGGCACATCAGGCTGGACGCCGGATCACCAGGCGGAACAGCGGGCACCGGGCCACCAGGCGGAGCAGCGGCCCCTGGGCCACAAGGCAGAGCAACAGGCACCGGGCCACCAGGCAGAGCAGCAGGCACCGGGCCACCAGGCAGAGCAGCGGGCCCCCAGGCAGGACGGCGGGCACCGGGCCACCACCAGCGGAGCAGCAGGCACCGGGCCACCAGGCACAACAGCGGGCACCGGGTCATCAGACATTGGATCGTCTTGCTCGACCGCGGGCACCAGGTCATCTGGCTCAACAGCGGGCATCGGGTCACCAGGCATGACATTGGGCACTGGGTCATCAGGCATTGGATCATCTGGCAAGACCGCGGGTACCGAGTCATCTGGCAAGACCGCGGGCACCGTGTCATCTGGCAAGACCGCGGGCACCGAGTCATCTGGCAAGACCGCGGGCACCGAGTCACCAGGCACAACAGCGGGCTCTGAGTCAACCGGCCCGACAGCGGGCTCTGAGTCAACTGGCGGAACAGCGGGCACCGAGTCGTCTGGCAAGACTGCGGGCACCGAGTCATCTGGCAAGACTGCGGGCACCGAGTCAACTGGTGG